TATATTGTTGGTTTTATAAATAATGACACACTTCCTCTTCTTATTAATCATAAAATTAATTACAGTATGTGTAGTTGACAAAAAAAAACATGTATTCAAACTTGCATGATTTACCATTTTCGAATTGGGGAAAAGAAGTGTCCCAAATCCCAAAAATTAGATCGTTACTTGATTAGTACGCGTAAGCTTTAATAATCGATTTGATGGTGGGTTTCGTTGGATGCTACTAATCAGTAAACATAATGAATATGTTGTTTTCTCACCCCCTCAGCATGCGACTTGTCTTATTCATCCATTGATAGTTATGGATTCGGTCGATGACCTAAATCGGCATGAGTTTTTTTTGCTGTTAGAAGAAGTTATATACGGTATAGAATAGTTAAAAGTTATATAAAATAACATTAAAAAGAAAGGTATACGAGTAAACGATTTTAATATCGTTTTCAAAAATTGATTTTGTGATTGATACAATTTTTAACAAAATGATTAATATGACCTTAATGATATTTTATAACAACGAGTTTTCTTTTAAAAAGAAACAATCTTTACCAACTTCTTGATTAACGTAAAGAAAAGAAACTAAATGTATCTATCAAGCGTGATAAACTATTGTTAATTCTTAATTCATTGATCGACATCAATAGTTTTTTCTGTTTGGGTCAAAACTCAAAAATATACGAAGTTTCCTTTTTTATATATTTCACGTTTCTTAAAATACTATCTTGTAGATGATAAAGAGTATTTCAAATAACTATAATTACCATTTTTATTTCTACTGTCGCATCTTAACACATTAATCATAATCAATTTATATAGTTTTTTCCTTTTTGCGAAATTCTATTTTTGCCTTTTTTAGAGATCGAAGGTTTAAACTTTCACATACGATTCCTCTTTATGAATTTGGTGAAAAAAGGAAAACAATCATTAGAATGTTCGATTCGAATGATTAAATTCCATTTTAAAAATATATGAATATGGAAAATAGTGAGTGACGATTGAGTGACGATACTCCTCCATATATATTTGATTATTTGACCCTTGTTGGTACATCAAAATCGAATAAAAAGAGTTTCCATTCTTGACCCAAAAATAAAAAACTATATTATATTTCGATTATCTCTTTATTATTCCAACCAAAAACAAAAAAAACAAAAGCAAGTCCATAT